AGCACAGTCTCTTTGCGGGCCTTAGTTAACCACCGCTGCCCTTCCTTGAGGATGTACCCTAGATAAGTCACTTCTTGTAGACATATCTGAGCTTTTTTTTTTTTTGCTGAGGCCCGGTATCCCAAGTCCCCAAGTATGTGGAGTAAGTCCTCAGTACCCTCTAGGCAGGACTTCTGGTCCAGTGCTGCGATCAATAAGTCATCTACATATTGTAACAGGCTTATGTTGGGGTGTTGGGCTCTGTACTCACCCAGATCTTCATGCAGGGCCTCATCGAATACAGTTGGAGAATTTTTAAACTCTGAGGCAGTCGCGTCCAGGTCAGCTGGCCATTGATTCCTGCCTCTGGATCATGCCATTCGAAGGCAGAGTAGGGCTGACTGCTGGGAGCTAGTGGCAGGCTGAAGAAGGCATCCTTGAGGTCCAAAACTGTATACCATTGCCAGTCTGGTGGCAGGGTACTGAGTAATGTATAAGGGTTGGGGACAGTGGGATGAATGTCAACGACTCTCTTGTTCACCTCCCTCAAATCCTGTACCTGTCTGTAGTCCCCCTATTGGGGCATTTTGAGAGGCAGGAGTAGGGTGTTCCAGGCAGACTGGGTCGTTCTCAGCACCCCCAGTTCCATTAATCTTCTGATATGTGGAGTAATTCCACGTTTTGCCTCTAGGGGCATAGGATCCTGGCGCACTTTAACAGGGCCCGCCCCTGCTTTGAGTTCAACATATACAGGAGTTCTGTGTCCTGCCCCACCCATACCCCCTGATTCTGCCCAGGTTTTTCTTGTCCTGTCTGTTTGGTGTTCTGTATGCTTCTTGTATTTGTATGGGCATATCTTTCTTTAATTTTGGGAAATTTTCTTCCACGATTCTGTTAAAGATCTGGTCCATGCCATTATCTTGGGATTCTTCTCCTTCCTGTATGCCTATGATTCATAAGTTTGGTCTTTTTATGGTGTCACACAATTCCTGCATTTTCCATTCTTGTGATTTCTTAAAGTTTTCATAATCTTTGCTTGAGTGGTCTAGTTCATCCACTTTATCTTCTAGTCTTGATACTCTGTTTTCCATTTCGTTCATCCTATTGGTGAGGCTTTCTCCTGTCGTTTCTAATTGGCTTACTGAGTGTTTCACTTCCTTCTTCATTTCAGCCTGAGTATTCTTCAATATTTCTAACTTTTCTGAATTCATTCAGAAGTTTATCCCTATCTTCCTTCAGTTCTTTGATATCTTTTTTTGTGTGTTCTTTAAATTCAATGAATTATTTTATCATGTTTATAATTGTTCTTTTCAGTTCTATGTCCTGCATTATCTCCAGGGTGTTCTCATTGCACTCCTCTAGAGGACTATTGGTATTTGTTGGGGATATGTTATTTTGGTTTTTCATGTTATTGTTTCTCTGATTTTGACATGTGAATTTCTTTTGTAGTTTCTGATTCTTGTGTGAAACTCAGGCCTTCAGGTTTAGGTCTGCTTCTTTTTGTGAACTTCATGTGTCTTTGTAGTTTACTTTTTTTGGGCATGAAAAGCTGGTTCGTCTAAGCTTTGGGTTCTCTCTTTTGGTTTTATATTGGAGTGGCTGGATTGTTTTTGTCTTCAGTAGTTCCCACAGAGACCCAATTCAGATGAGGGTTAGATGTTTTCAGGCTTTCTCCTAAGGTCTGGATCCCTCAAGGAATGATTTTGGCCTCAGGAATTTGGTGGTTGGACTGGCCTGGGAGCCTGGCCCAGGAAAGATGCTGGTCTAGGGCAGCTGGTGGCCGAGCCACCCAGAGATGCAAAGGCAGATTGGGCGGGAAGAGGCCCCAAGGACTCCTGGGGACTGCACTGAGGAACTGGGTTGGTCTGGATGCAAAGGATCAGGGAGAGGAAAGGTTAGCCCCTGCGTCCCAGAAAGAGGCTGGTGGTTGGTACAGGCCCAGAAGCAGTGCTCCTGGGGCCCAGAGAAGGCACCAAGTTGGTCTGCATGGAAAGGATCAGAAAGCAATATAGTTTACCCAGGTGTCTGGGGCCCCAAGACAAGGAATGGAGCAGGGCCCAAACTCGGAGGAGAGAACGGTGGCTGAGATGGGAGGGTGAATGAGGCTGGGGGAGTCAGGGCTCGGAGGGCACAATGGACTTACCTGGGAGAGGACTGTGGCGGGTCCTCAAATAGTATTTTTAGTGAGCTTCTTTTATTTTTCTGTTTGCAATACTAGGGATTGATGCCAGGGCCTCATACATGCCAGGCAAGCCTTTTATCATGCAGCAATATCCTCAGCACAGGCTGCTTTCTCTTTTCTTTTTTGGGGGTTAAGGTTTCATTTTCTTTAATGTGAATTCTTTTTTAATATTCTGTTTATTATTTTCATTTTATATGTGTTAGTGTATTGCCTCCATGCGAGTGCACTGGTGAATGCCGCAGAGGTCAGAAGAGTGCTTCGGATTCCCCTGGAAGTGGAGTTAAGGATGGTTCGTAGCTGCCATGTGGGTGCTGGGAGTCGAACCCGGGTCTTCTGTAAGAGCAGTCAGTGCTCTTAACTGCTGAGACATCTCTCCAGCCCCTGATGTAAATTTTTTAAGTTCGCATACAAAATAGTGAATTTCATGATGACATTTTCATACACATATAGAGACTATTTTGAGTCAGCTTCTTGAAATAAATTCTTTGGAGTGTTGATGGCCCAAAGATATTGTTTACTTAGATTTCCTCATAGGTGATATCAAAACAGTGTTAAGGTTCCGAAATATATTCTCTGCCATTGGGCTATCAAGAAATAAATCTGTCATATTTGTTTTTGTTTGAGACAGGATCTGGCTGGCCTTGAGCTTGTGGCAATCCTCTTGACTCTGCAACTGACATAAAACTATCACATTTGTTTTTTCTTTTTAGAAAATTGTGTGTGTGTGTGTGTGTGTGTGTGTGTGTAAGTACAGGAGCATGCCTGTTCCAGAGGACAACTTCAGTTGCCTGTCCTTGCCTTCCATCTTGTTTGGGACAGGGTCTTCTTTTTTGTTGCTGTGTTCTCCGGCTCACTGGCCCATAAGCTTCAGGGGAGGCTCCTGTCTCTGCTGAAAGAGAGTGTCCTGTCTCCGCTGAAGGAGTGCTGGAACACAGCTGCACGCTACTGACTTTATGTGGGTTCTGGGGGTCTAAGTTTAGGTCCTCATGGTTGTGAGCAAGTGCTTTACCTCTGTGCCATCTCCCCAGTTCAAACTGCCATGTTTCTTAACTTGTGCTGAGTGGCTTTAAAATTACTGTCAGAGCCAGGCGTGGGCATGTAAAGCTATAATCCCAGTACTTGCCGTCTTGGGCTACATCTCAGAAAAAATCAAAAACACAATAAAATGTAAAATCCAAAATGAAAAACAACTGAAATCAAAAAACAAACCAAAGTATGTATTATCAGAGTTCATCACTTCTAATGAAAACCTTATTTTTATGTTTCTTTGCAGTTTTTTTCCTGCAATAAGTATCTTAGGTTTTAGGAGTGAATATGAGAAGGAAAAGTAAGAGAATACATTCAAGAAATGTAATTTACATAGTCTAATGTAAGTTTTAGTTTGGAAGTTGATAGCCTTGGCCTTTTCTAGACCAAAAGTAAGTCAGTTTTGTGAGTCTTATGTAGGTGTACTTGTGGTCTTTCTGATCATTTTGAGATACATGAAAATCAAGTCATTAAAAATATATTGTCTCGGGCTGGAGAGATGGCTCAGCTGTGAAGACTGCTCTTGCAGAGGACCCAAGTTCGATTCCCAGCACCCACATGGCGGCTACGAACTGTCCTTAACTCCAGTTCCAGGGCAGTCCGAAGCCCTCTTCTGACCTCTGCAGCATTGCATGACACAGGTGCACTCACATACATGCAGGTAATACACTCATGCACATAAAATAAAAATGATAAAATATTAAAAAATATATATTGTCTTTTTGGGCATGGTGATGCATGTTTTTAATCCCAACACTCGGGAGGCAGAGCCAGGCAGATCTCTTGAGTTCAGGGCCAGCCTGGTCTACATAGTGAGTTCTAGGCCAGCAGGGGCTGCAGGAGACCCTGTCTCAAAAAGATTAAAAAAAAATATGCATTGTCTTGGTGTTGGAAAGATGGCTCAGTGGTTAAGAGTACTTACTCCTCTTACAGAGGACCTGGATTAGTTCCCAGCATCCATGTGTTATCTCACAACTACCTGTAGCTCCAGGGCTAGGGAATCTGATGCCGCCTTCTGGCCTTCTTGTGCACCAGGCAGACATGTGGTGCACATAATAAATGCGGCAGAGCACTCATACACATAAAATAAAAATAAAATTTTTGGGGGGAGCTTTTTGAGACAGGGTCTCCCTGTAGCCCCAACTGGCCTGGAACTCACTATGTAGACCAGGCTGGCCTTGAACTCACAGAGATCCGCCAGCCTTTGCTTCCCAAGTGCTGGGACTAAAGGCGTGCGCTACCATGCCCGGCAAATTAAATCTTAAAAAAAAAAAACTTGTTGCTGGGTGTGTGGGTGTGGTGTCACAGGGTCTCCCTGTAGCCCCAAGCTGTCCTGGAACTCACTATGTAGACCAGGCTGGCCTCCAACTCACAAAGGTCTGACTGCCTCTGCCTCCCAAGTGCTGGAATTAAAGGTGTGTGCCACCATGCCCGGCCTTCTATAAATTTTAAGAACTAGTTTTTAATACAAAAAGCTGTGGATATACTTGTAATCCCAGTACTCAGAAGGCTGAGTCAATGTTGCTGCAAGTTTGAGGCCAGCCTGGGTTATATATCAAGTCTCGGTTTCACTTCCCTCTATCTCCCCTAAAATAGGGACTTTATGTGTAAGGGAAAGTCTTTGTTCTCTGGATTTCTAAAGCACACTTAAGTAGCATTTTTGCTACCCAAGCACTACTTTTTAATCCATGTGAAAAGGCACCAAGTTATTGTAGCATCATTAGTAATGCTTGTGTTCTCCAGTTTACCTGGAAACTGGAATACAATCTTTTATCTAGTTTTTGAGGTGTTACATTAAGTGGACTGGTAGATTCACATTTCTAAAGAATATGTTTAATGAAGGGAACACACACAAAAAGTACACACAAATTTAACTTGTTTTTCTCGTCTAGAGATCTTTTAGCCATTCATAGTTAGAATCAATTTTGCAGTAACAGTTGACTTCTAGAAATTTTCTTTTTCCTCATAAGATGCTGAAGGCTGCTTTTAAAGCTTTTGTTCATCTTCTGTAGAGGGCTAGACCACCTCGGTATCACGTTTTCTGATGTTGTCCATCATACTTCTAAGAGGGTTAGGCTCGTTTTTTAAGTCTTTCACAGTTTTATTTTTTACACAGCAGCAGCAGTCAAGTACTTCATAAAGGAAAGCCAGCATGACCAAGGATATCACAGTACATATAAACAAAAGCAAGATGACAAAGCAGGCAGTGTTCCAGTTATCATGGAAGGGGTAGATTTTTTGGACTTGAAAGCCAAGGTACTGATAAACAGAGGTGGTTGTTTCATTCAAGTGTCTAGAGGCCATTGTTCCACTTGTACTGCTTCTTGGAATCTATGAAAAGAGAGAAAGTGACTATATTTAACCAAACTACAGATTTGTGCACTCAAATCTCAGTATCAGGATTTCCTAGTAAATTTATTTAGTTAACATGAATTGTCCTTGTTTAAAAAAATAAACAACTGAATTATATTTTGAATTTTCTGTATGTTTATGCCAATTAGTTAAATTAGACTCTAGTTTTTAGGTGTTTAATTTATTAAGTAATACTTGTGTTTCAGATTCACATACACAAAAGGATTCATATATAAAAATTAACTGCTGAAGGGAAGCAAGGCAGCTGGCTTGATTTGAAACTTGACTAAAATAGCGGCTAATGGGCCACTGTCTTAAAACATGGAGAAGCTTTGTCATTACCTTACTTCTCACCTTGGTTCAGTGTATTTCTGTTATTACCACTACTGTCAACTTGGATGGCAGGTGATCCGAACTGGAAATGGAAATGGTGGCTGAATACAAAATAATAGAAAAGAAAAGCAAATAATGACAGTTTTCAGAATAAGGATTTACTAAAGTTTTTTTTTGTTGTTGTTTTTGCGGGGGGGGCGCTTTTTTTGAGACAGGGTCCCCCTGTAGCCCCAGCTGGCCTGGAACTCACAGAGATCTGCCTGCCTCTGCCTCCGGAGTGCTGGGATTAAAGGCATATGCCACCATGCCCAGCTGGTTTTAATAGTTTTCAACTAAGTTGCCTTTGAAGAGATGTTACTCATAGGGTTATTATGTAGATAATAGCTTAAAGTGTTTCATATACTCTCAGTGACCCATGGACACTAATATTTAAAATAGGCAAATTAGGGCTGGCGAGCTGGCTTGTGGGTAAAGATGCTTGCTGCCAAACCTCAGGAGTTGAATTTGATCTCTGTGAGGGACCACGTGGTGGAAGGAAAGAACCGATGCCCATAAATTGCCTTCGGACTTCCACACACATGCTGTGGCACAGGCCCCATCTCCCTAGCCTTTGCAAAATAAAATTAATAAAAAATTTTAAATTGACAAATGTAGTACACTCAGAAGTGTCAGTTATTCGTCAAATAAGCTAGTGAGTTGTTTCTTCTCTTTCTTTCCATCCATCCATTCATCCATCTTTTTTGTTTTTGTTTTTGTTTTGTTTGAGACAGGGTCTCCCTGTAGCCACAGCTGGCCTAGAACTTACTATGTGGACTGGGCTAGTCTCAGTCTCACAAAGATCTGCCTGCCTCTGCGTCCTCAGTTTACAGGTGTACACCACCATGCCTGGCGACTTCTTTTTCTTTCTTTTTTTTCTTTTTTGAGACAGGGTCTCACTGTGTAACCCTGGCTGGCCTGGAACTTGCTATGTAAATCTGACTGACCTCAACCTCACAGAGATCCACCTGCCTCTGACTCCCTAGTGCTAGGATTAAAGATGTGTGCCACCACACCCAGTTTTTGGTAGTGCTGTGAATCAAACCCAGGGCCTTATATATGCTAGACTAGTGCTGTACAACTAGTCTACATCCTTAGCACTTGGGTCCTTGGTGTTTTTTTTTTTTTGTTTGTTTAAACTGTATAGCTTAGGGTGACCTTAAATTTGGTAGGTAGCCCAGGCTGGTTTTGAACTTCTGATCCTTTTTTCTCCTCCTTCCTAGTATATAGTATACTACTATACCTGGCTAATTTCAGTATTTTTGCATCGAGTTTGTTCTTGTTGACCTGATACTTGTTAGATTTTTTTAATGGAATATGAAGATTAGGATTTTTTTTTCATTTTAGCTTAGGGTGACCTTAAATTTGGTAGGTAGCCCAGGCTGGTTTTGAACTTCTGATCCTTTTTTCTCCTCCTTCCTAGTATATAGTATACTACTATACCTGGCTAATTTCAGTATTTTTGCATCGAGTTTGTTCTTGTTGACCTGATACTTGTTAGATTTTTTTAATGGAATATGAAGATTAGGATTTTTTTTTCATTTTTTTGTATGTGAGGGTTTTACTTGCACCCATGTTGCTCAATGCCTATGGAGTGCAGAAGAGGACTGTCAGATCCCCTGGAACTGTAGTTATGGATGGTTATTTATTAGCTGCCATGTGGGTCCTAGGAACTGAACCTGGGTCCTCTGTAAGAGCAGTCACTACTTTTAATCACTGAGCCATCTCTCCATCCCCTGAAGATTGAAAATTTGATAGTGTGAAACTATAGTAATTATTATTATCTGGGTTTGTTTTGTTTTATTTTTGAGGCAGACACGGTCTCCATGTAGCCCCAGCAGGCCTGGAACTTGCTATGTAAACCAGGCTGGCCTTGATCTTGCAGAGATTCACCTGCCTCTGCCTCCTGAGTGCTGGGACTAAAGGTGAGCACTACCATACCTGGCCTTATCTTGATTTTTAAAAAATACTTTTTTTTTTTTTTTTTGGTCTTTTTGAGATAGGGTCTCCTTGTAGCCCCAGCTGGCCTGGATTCGCTATGGAGACCAGACTGACCTCGAAACAGAGATCTGCCTGCCTCTGCCTCCTGAGTGCTGGGATTAAGGATGTGTGCCATCATGCCCGGCTGTTTTGGTCTTTTTGAGACAGGGTCTCCCTGCATGCAACCCCAGCTGTCCTGGAACTCACTATGTAGACCAGGGTGGCCTTGAATTCACAGAAACCCTGCCTCTGCCTCCCAAGTGCTGGGATTAAAGGAGTGCACCACCACACCTGGT